TGTGTTATGCCGCACTAATACAAAACAATCAATTTCAAGGTCCTTTATAAATTTTAATTCAGCCTACACTAGGAATATAATTAAGGTAATTAGAATCATTTTATTAAATTGAAGTGTAATGCATTAATATATATTCATTGATTCTTTAATTTTTAGTGTCCAAAACAAAAGAAAAATAACTTGGACTGTGGCTCTTACATCATGAAGGATATCATTATTCATAATGACAGCATAATTCTCGAGATGGTATGTCAATAATATTAACTTTTAAATTATAAAAAAATTTAATGTACTAAAATTAATTTATGATGGATCATTTATATATTACAATACTATGACGATTCTTATATTGAAGAATTTAAAAATGCAAAAAATAAATGAGGTAATTGAAGAATGGTATCAATACATTTTTTTAAGTGTAGACCTCATACAAAGAAGATTAATAGAATTATCTCGAAGAAGTAGCTAGGATATTTATATTTTTAATAGGTAGTTTATTTTTAAAAATAATTTATTTTATATAATTACATTTGTTTACTTGATATAGATTAGTTAAGAGTTGTTTATTGATTAATTTTAAAATTAAATACAATAAATTTTGTTGATATTCAAATTTAAAATGACTGTTTACTGTTATTTTAATATATTTTTTGTAATAGGTTTGGTATAAAAATAACTCTTGTATTTTAAAAAGTTATATAATAAAAGATAGTTATATAAATAACAGCCATTTTTATGACAATATATGATGGGTAAATAATTTATCCATCATTTATTGTGACTTTAAATGACGGGTAAATCATTTACCTATCATTTAAAGTATGATACACTGTCATTTTAAAGTCATAATAAATGACGGGTAAATTATTTGTTGTCATATATTATCATATATTTTGGCTTTAAGTGATGGATAAATAATTTATCTATCATTTATTGTCTCATATGGCTGGGCTTTCTGTCAAAATTTTATTTCAAATGACGATTATATTGAGAAGATTATAAATGTTAGTCATATAAATGACACGTATTAACTATTATTTATGAGCTAAAATAATTATCATTTATTTATTTATTTATTTTGTAATAGTGGCTTAAATTTGTATATGATATTTGAAATGAAATTTTTCTGTCATAAATACTTTTTTAAACAACAGATATAATACAATTAAGTAAAAAAAAAATAGATTTTTTTATGCGTCATCAAAAAGAGAGCTGCAAAACCCTCAATGTTTATATTCCAAGGAAATTGAAGCATTGAATCGCAATATGCCACACACACTACCGTTATTGATGAGCATGAAAAAGTTTCCTCCCATATATAACGGATGTCCCTCAAGGGATTTGAGTTTTAGACCAGGTGACCACTGTGCTATGAAATTGGGAAAAGCTTAGGCCCAACTTTGGCTTTCCAAGGACCCAGGCTTTCCCCATTCATGGTTTTCATTTGCACTATTGCGAGCGAGCCGGTTGCCCCAATAGCATTTGAAATTCGTCATCTTAACCCTGTGGCTGCTAGCTTTCTCCCTACAATAAAAACCTAACTAGGTTGGAGAGATTATAAGAGAATTACTCAATTACTTAATTATATTTTAAGTGAATACTAATTCAGTCGTTTACACATTCAACATCGTGCGTTATTCATTAGCTAGACCAGTAACCCACCCTCTTCTGAGATGATCGAGATCGTCTTTGCTTAGAGGCCATCATATCGCTATAGTCAGCATGGATTTTGCATGTGCACTTCACAAACCATTTCATATTCATTTATTTATTACAAATAGGATAATTTTGGCACAAAGTACTGAATGCAAGGGAGACAACAATTAATATATAGAACAATAACCTCGCTCTAAGAACCACTGATTTGAAGTTTTGAACTAACATGAAAAATAGATTCAGGCAGCACATTGACGGTACCGATACAGCATTCTCATCATTCAAAATTTCACCTGCTTCCCATCGAAGACTCAATTTTAGCTAGCGGAGTTCAATATTAAGGGGAGACCATAACCGAGAAAACGGCCTGGAACAAGCTCTACTTCCAATACATGAGTAACTATCCAATAATTAAGCAACACAATCGCTACTGTGAAAAACCCATGTGTCTAAAAGAAATCATATACATGACATATATTGTCTGAAAAATGATCTTCAACACATGTGCTGCCTCATGACTCATGAATCAAATTGTCGAGCAGTAACCAATATTAAGCATATATATATGTTCAATCATACAGCCAGCAAATATAGAACTACTATACATCCCCAGAAATCAGATTGGAAAACATAATAACAGCTAGTTCAACACAAACAGACAATACAAAGTCAAGAGAAGGAAGCATACGTACCCAGTAAACAGTAGAGAGAGAGGGAGGGAGGGAGGGAGGACACAGTTGAGTTGAGAGTGTGGTTATGGATAAGTTTCCTGAATCGGGATGGCCGACTTGATGCTCCATGAACAGAACCCTGTACTTAATTCAGCCCATAATTTGGTGGCTTTTTTAATGATTTGATCTCCAACACTGTAAAGATAATACAAAAGGCAAAGTAGAGATAAGCTCGGGGTAAAAAACAAAAAAGGAAAAAGAAAAGCATGCGGGGGCCATAAAATAAATAGAAGATGGGGGGAAAGTGGAAGCCCATGGTACGTTTGGATAGGCGAATGAGAAGATAATCCTAATAGATTTATTTCCTTTTGTATTAAAAAAAAATCAAGAAGATAATCCTAATCAGGAAATCGGAATGGGTATGCCACGTGACATACGCGTTTCCGTGTGATTCAATGCCATTCCCACCGCCCTTGCACTGTTCCTTTGACTTCTTTTTAAACTCCTTTCATCTGCAAGGGCTACTTGTACTGCAATTCTAGTTAGCCGTTAGCCGTCATTACTCCCAATCCGTCTTTATAGATAAAAAGTTTTAAAACTTTTTTTATTTTTAAATATAAAAAATAATTTACATATTTTTTTTAATGTATAGATCATTATACTTTTATTAAATTAAAAAAATAAATATTTTTATTAATTTAATTTAAAAAAATTATTTTTTATTTATAATAATTAAGAAAAAATTAAAATATTTATATGTTTGTAATGAGATAACTATTTTTATTAATTTACATAATTTAATTAAAAATATCTTGAGGGAATATACTAGTACCTTAAGATTGTTATTCTTATTCTTATTAAATCGAGAAGACAGTTATTAACTGTCAAACCGTGTTTTCGGAAGTGTGTGACGTCATTTCAGAAAAAGAGGTGTCCGTTATTCTAGTTGTTCGCCGGGAACAGCTAAAATAGTCAAATTTCAATTCTAGATACTTTTCTTTTTTTGGCAGTCTTTAATTCAAGATACCTTCTATTCTTCACTTCCCAGAACCTTCCATCACCCATCCATATCTCTCTCTCTCTCTCTCTCTCTCTACATCTAATACTGACAAATTGCTACTAGAACATTAAAATCATTATTACAAATTTTTTAACACGTCATTTTAGAAATGAAAGAAAATCCTTCTCCTGACACTCTTTAAATTAAACTGCTCCCACCATTTAAAAATATAAAATATTTTTAATTAAATTTTATTTTAATAAAATAATTATTCATATTTAAATTGATTATATTTTTTTATATTTATTTTATTTTTATTAAATATCTTATAATAAATATAAAGACATTATTAATAAGAGTATTTTTTTAAAAAATAATGATTACATTTTAAAATATTAAAAATATCTTACATATTTTAACATTTAACTTTTTAAAAAATATTTTATATTTTTAAAGGAAAAAATATTCAAATTTTCTTTGGGTTTATATATATATATATATATCTTTTTTTTTTTTGTCACACGCTTACGCTTAATTATGTCAGGCTTGCAAAATGAAATACCATTACATTTGCATGTAGACGGGAAAGCCGTCTGGACGTAAATGAAAGTCAGCGTCTTAAAAAGTGAGGACAAAAAATACAATTGAGATTGAATCAATTCAAGTGGAGATCAAAGCGCTACTGGTAATATTTATATTTAAATTAAAGACAATACTTGAGCAAAAGATATTTTCCCCCTAATCCTTTGAACACATCGGGGCGTTGAAATGGTAACAAATAAATAATATTATAAAATTAACATAATTCCAGTGTCTCCATATTGTATTTTTATAAGCTTATTTTATTTTTAAATATAAAGAATATTACGATATTTTTGAGTAATTAAATAATTTTACAATTTTTTTAAAAGAGCAAGCATATTAATTGTATATTTCACACATCATTATTATGATACTAATTGACATTATCAAAAATAAAATTAGAAAGTTATTGTGATTATAATTATATAGTAAAGGATACATGAACGGAGAGAGTAATTCCTAATTACAATGAACAGTTAATACTGCTGAGAATTAAAATGATCATTAGCTTCCTAATCTAACACGTGATTACTTATGAACAGCTATAGCTAGAGCAGATCCAAGATCCGGAGGTGAATGAAACATCAAATCAGTCTCGCAAGCAAAATCCAGCTTATGTTTAGAATTATTTTAAAATGTCAATTACATGGTCTGAGTTGTCTCCTCCTCGTACGGGGAATCATATCTTCCCCCTGACGTCACACGGACTCAAACCCAAATAAATATATAATAAATAAATAAGTATAATAAGAAATTGCCAACCCTTTGACTGATTCGCTTCACTTCCCTCAGTCTCTCTTCACCTTCCCCTTTCCCCATCATCCCCGAAATTAACAAAGCCCCGATCTTTTAAAAATTCTGTTCTGGGGAGACAAACTAGCCAGACACGTGCCTTCCAGAGAGAAAACGACAAACACAGCTGGTGCAAGTTTTGGCCCCACTTTCCATTTCCTCAACCACAGTTTAAAGCGTGGGCACTCACCAGGTCCCCCAGCGCTAAGCTAGCTGGCTCCGTGTTCGTTCCTTCCGTGAAACCCGAAACCCCACTGCTTCATTCCCTCTTTCTCTATATAGAAAATCCTATAAAATATGCATACATGGACTTGGATAATTCTGAGACACTGAACAACCTAAACAAGAGGGAGATATAATAAGAAGCTTACCTTTCAGGTATACTCACCAAGAGTGAAGCAACGCACTGAAGAGACCCAGTTAGATTTCTTCGTCAATATATTGACACTTGGAAGTGCAATAAGGTTCGAGTTTCTTTGATTGCTATGTTTTCATTCAACTGTTCTTCACACCCGCATCCGCTTAGGTCGCAATATAATTGTGATTTAGAAGTGCTAGAGTACACGTCGTCGCCGGCTTCGGATTGTGGAAGTGGCAGCGGAGTTCCTTCGTTGTTTCTGTCCGACGAGGAGGTGTTGCTGGCTGCAACTCATCCGAAGAAACGAGCGGGGAGGAAGAAGTTCCGGGAGACTCGCCACCCGGTGTACCGGGGTGTCAGGAGGAGGAACTCCGGCAAGTGGGTGTGTGAAGTGCGCGAGCCCAATAAGAAAACAAGAATTTGGCTGGGGACCTTCCCCACTGCGGACATGGCCGCGAGGGCCCACGACGTGGCAGCAATAGCTCTGAGGGGCCGGTCAGCTTGTCTTAACTTTGCAGACTCTGCTTGGCGGTTGCCACTGCCGGCGTCGAATGAGGCCAAGGATATTCAGAAGGCGGCGGCAAAAGCTGCGGAGGCATTCCGTCCAGGGGTGGAATCGGAGAGCGACAAATTGAGGCATGAAAATGCAGAGGCTGCGACCACGACGGCGGCGGCAGTGGCGGAGGAGCAGAGTATATTCTTAATGGATGAAGGAGTGCAGGGGATGCCGGAATTGCTGAGGAACATGGCGGACTCTGTGCTGATGTCGCCTACTCATAGCCTTGGCGATCAGTACGATGGTGCTGACGTGGAAGTGGATGATGCTGAAGTGTCATTATGGAGTTATTCAATTTAATTATAGCATAACTACTTAATGCCACGAGGGACGTGTGTGTGGTGTAGATAAAGCGGATTGTACTAGGGGAAAAAAAAAAAAAAAAAGCGGATTGCACTCTGCTTTTTGGAACTGACGAGTCACTACTGACTAGTCAGTAGTCACTGGATGTAGAACTAGAAGTCGGTTTTGTTAATGATTTTTCAAGGTTTTGGTTGGGAAGTATCCGTACTTTAAATTTTGTCCTGTACGGATGCTAAATCCAGTAGAAAGGGAAAATTCCTTTCAATTCTCTGCGAAAGGTTCCTTACAGACTACTGAGACTAGATCTTGGGCTTTGTGTGTAGTATGAAATTCAAAATTAGATTTCTAATGACTACAAGAACAATACACAGTTCATAAATACTCCCTCTATTCTCGCTTCTAGGACTAGAAAAAATTGATGGTCTCATTATATACAAGGCATTTCATAAGTTATTAATGATCATTTTATTGCAAATTATTAGGAAAAGATTTCTCTATACTATTAAATGAGAGCAAAGTTGAAATCTTTGTTTTTTTTTTTTGTAATATTGCTAGACACAGTTTGAGTTAACAACTACCACTTTCTTAGGTTCCAATAAGATAGACTTGACTTGTAATAAGCTTATTTTGTGTTGAAATCGTTGATTACTCTTCAACTTCAAATATGTAGTTTCTTTTGAGAATTAAGGCCTTTTCATTTTGTGACCAGGATATATACTGTTTTGGAAATTGGAATAAGAGGGTGTAAGTGGGTATGGCGTTGGTTCTCTTTTTGGAAACTCCGGGCTCCTGTGATTACTCTAACTTCAAATAGGTTGCAGAGCCATTCAATTCTGCATATCTAACGTGAAAAGAACCACATCACATTCGATTAATAAGAATCAAGGAGCATTTATTTGTACAATTTAGTCTACATCATGAGAGCCGTCACAATTGTGTTCCGGACATGTTATCTGCCACCATAACAATTTTCATTCATAACTGTGGCTCATTAAATAAAATTTAATAGCCAAATAAGAGTTGCCTTCTAAAGACGTTCAATATGATACATGCTCATTTAATTTCATAGCCTTCGTATCCATTTTAAGATGGTAATTATAAATATTTCTACATTCCATTTTGACTTGAGGAGCAAGACTAAGAGAGCCAAGCACGTCATTCTGACAAATGAGGTGTGAATATTTTCATCTCAAAACAACCAAAAGAATATCAAAATTTGAAATAATTCAGAGATAAATAGATGGTAAACAATAAGGCCTATAAAAATACAAACTATAAGTGATGCTGGCACTGACTGGGAAGCCTTTGTGCATGATTTTTCCAGAATCAAGAAAATGTAACAAGTTACTTTCGTTCTTGTGATTCAATATGGCCGGCAGCTTCCTCAAGGGATAGGAGCTCCTGCAGAAGGGAAGCAAGCTTCGAATCATTGTCTTGTTGAATATGGGGTGGAACCTTCTCTCTGTAACCTGAAGCATTTATAGTCTTCTCCAACCTCTCCTTTTGCCTGCATATTATAATAAAACCCACATTTCTCATAATCCACAATAATGAAGGGGTACGCTTTTTTTTGTGACCGGAAAAGAAGTGGTACTTAAAAGGCTTCCCTATGTTAACGAATGAAAATTCAGTGAATCAATAGAAAAAACTGGTGCAATCAATATATCATGTATCATAAAATTTATAGCAAGTCATCCTACTCATAAACCATGATAACTATTTATTCCTAAGCTTCAAATAATCCATAAGCAGAAATTTGTCTAGTTCTTATATATCAGCCATCAGATTCTTTAATAGAATTGTGATGTGTTGACAAACTATGTATACTTGGTGAAATGTGTTAAGAAATGTCCATTTGCTATTTAATAATTTAAAAAAAAAAAAAGCTCAGCACCCAACTTTACCGAAATCTTGGTATGTATGAATTGTTTTCCGACCATAAAACAGCTACCTATCTAACATCTAGGCACGATTCCCTGTCATTTTATTTCAAGAGTCTATAATTGAATATGGAAGGACGTATGTTAAATGAAATGTCATCAGATTTTTTTTAAAGAAAACACTGTTCATTTCAGAATGAGTTCTCAAAATCAGTGTAGGAAGACTTACTTCCTGAACTCATCTATCTTCTTCTTGATCTTTCCTAGCTCTGCTTCAGCAGAAATAGTTCCTTGCAGCTCCATATAAACAGAGAGGTTCTCATTCACAACTGATACAGCATACCCAGAAGGAATAGCATCGTTTTCATTGATCACCTGTGGATTGAAAAGCATAACAGGTTAACATAGAATATAAAACAAAGACCAAGTGAGCTAATGGCATACTACAAGTGCCCCCATCTTACTGAAATTGAGAGGTTGACACTTGCTCCTGATACGGAGGCAAAACTTTATTCCCTTTTCTTTTGGGATAAAGATGAGAACAAAATCAAGGGAGATTACAAGAGGTTTACGCTATTGAGCATATATCTTTCCCTTTCATCCATCGCTACTAGCCAAGGCAGAGGAAAGTTAAAGACATTACTCTGATTACCCGCATCATGGGCATGTCCAGCTAGAGCATCAGCTGTGCTAACAGATTCTGTATGTCTAAAGTTAATGCTTACAGACCAATTCCTAAACAATAAATTACGAGCTTTTTGAATAATGTCCTGGAATGGGTGTCCCTCTATCGCATCATGTGTGACAGGATTGATAGCTTGAGCACAATCAGTTACAACTGCAATATCTTTGAAACCTTTTGTCTAGCAAAGATAAAAAGAATTATTCTGATAAAAAGAATTACATATTAGATACACACAATGAGTTTGCCATCATGTCCCACAGATATTATTACTTAGATTCTGGAAGAGGCTCACACGCCCTTCTGCTTGTGGGGAAGTCATGGATAGAAGATCCTATCACTGTCAGTGAAAGTGATGTGCAAGCGTGATTTTGTTGAGAAGGTTGAAACGCTGTATGATATCCTCAATTGTCCAACAGAAACAAGTCAAATCTCCAGTGTCACACAACATATAGAGTACGAAAATAATTGCCATGCCTTTTAAATGCAAAAAAAGTTATCAAGTCAAACTCACTAGCATATTTGGTTCAACTCTTCAATGGTATACAAGAAAATGACAAAACACCACAGAAAATAAAAGGAACACAAGAAAGCCGTTTCAAGCAACTTATTGAACTTACTATCAAAGATGATAGATTTGCTAGAGTTACAATCTCCAATTGATGGCTGCTAATAATCTCTACAACTGCCTGTGTTCGGCAGAGCACAAAAGCAGGCCGCCTAACAAAAGCATCAAATTCAAAATCAGCAAAGCATGATAGACCAAACATCTACCTAGCTAATTATTATGATGTCTAAGGTTTGACAGAAGTATATTCACAGTTCTATTTAAAAGAACATCCCATACAGCCTCTCAACAACCCTGCTCCAAAAGAAAAAATTTACGGCCAAGAAGAGTCAATTCCATCTCCTCCAACTTTCTTGAAAATACAACAGATTTGTTTCACAGCTTAAAGAGAAAGCAACAATTTTTTTTATAGGGACAAAAGCAAGAAAAGATTGTCTTTTTGCAGAGATGCAATTTTCACCATTGAAGCAATCTGTGCGTGCGTGTGGACTGAAGGAATTCAATAACATGTTCTCAAAAAGAAACACAAGTGCAAGCAAATAACAAGTCCTCCATCAACTTGATTCAAATTCCATGACACTTGAGATGTGGATAAAAAAGGCACTATAATCCTCCAACTACATCAAGGGTGGCCTTGAACTTCACTTGAAGAGAACAGTGCAACCAGCACTTCACTCTAGATTGACAAAAATCAACTCCTTTCATATCAAGGGTTACCCACTTAAGTGCAATCTGCATTTAAGAGGAACCAAATCCAATACAATGATAAAATCTTGCCATTAGAAACAAGAGGCATGGATGCCAGCTTTTCCACCAGTCACATGGCGCATCTATGTACTTTCCTTTCCAATACCCTTTTTTTTTTAAACAGAAAAAGGGAGGTTGAAATGTATTAAGTCGAAGAGAAGTGCAAGAAACATGAGGCGAGAATGTAAACAAATGCTTCTATGTACCTGTCCCGTCTTTCATTTGCCAAAGACCTGAGAGACTTGACTACAGACTCCACAAGATCCATAGCATTCTCCAACACTTCATTGATCCAGCACTGAGATTAAAATAAATTATTCAATGCAAAAAAACATAAAAAGTATTAAATAACAGCCTAAGCATGTTAAATAACTCGTACATATTAATAGGACCTAAATTTCCTACATCATGCCTGAGATTTTCATTAGACAAGAATGAGGGTGGGGGAGAAAGAAATAAAGTGACTCTTTTTCAAAAGAAAATATTAACAAGTGTCACTCAATGAGAACATAAACAAAAGGCATAATCAGAGTATTTGACAAAGTTAGTTAATGTTCACAATATGAAGAATATTAAGGCAAACTAACCTCCACAGCTGTTGGATAATTGCATATCATGATTGATTCTGCTTTCTTACATTCCCTTGGTGAAGGAAGGCGCTGCCACAATTCTTCCGTGACAAAGGGCATAAAGGGATGAAGCAACCGCAGGCCAATCTCAAGACAAAACCACAAAGTATCTTGTGCAGAACGTCTTTCAGAAGTAAACTTGGGGTCGTTACCGGTGAAATAAGGTTTAATCACTTCAATAAAGACATCACACAATTGATATTGCCACCAAGAATACACAGCAGTGGATGCATGGGAGAACTCATATGATTCTAGAGACTTCACTGCCTTTGATATTGTTTTATTCAACACAGAGAGTATCCACTGACAACTAAATGGAAGAACATTGGGAGTCAAATTTGTGGGTGGAGTATAATCATCTCCAAGCTTGCTCATAGCAAATCGTACTGCATTCCACAATTTATTACACCACTGCCGGTACCCAACAACCCTTTGGATATCTAGGTTAATTTTGTCAGACTGAAACAAATGACAAACAGGCCAAAATTATGAAAAATAAATAAACTAAGGTGGTCTGTATAATAAGTCATTTAGAGAATGCTACTGAATACCGCCAACCAAATACCTGAGCCGTGTATGAGACAAGCGCAAAACGGAGAGCATCAGCACCACACTCGTCAATTCCGTTTGGAAAGTCCTTCGTCTGACCTTCTTTGGCAATAGCTAATTCTTTTGGGTCCAAGTTCCCTTCTTCTAACCTCTTATGTAGACCATCCAGAGATATGCCATTGATCACTTCAATGGGATCAATAACATTTCCCAAGGACTTAGACATCTTGCGACCATGTGCATCTCGAATCATGGGATGCAAATAAACCTGCATTGAGATGTTGAGTTTTTTTTTTTTTTAATCATGTCAATGACCTGGGATTTCTTAAGCATGGATCAAGAGTAAATTTATGGTATGCCTTATGTGAAAACGCTACTGAATATCATAATCAGATGGAGCACAAATTCACCTTTCTAAAAGGCACATCACCACCCAACTTCATTCCTAACATCACCATGCGTGCAACCCAGAAAAAGAGAATATCATGACCAGTTTCCAGAACAGAAGTTGGATAAAATGCCTTTAGGTCTTCTGTATCCTCAGGCCAGCCCAGAACAGATAGTGGAAACAAACCAGAGGAGAACCATGTATCAAGAACATCTGGATCCTGACTCAAATGAAACATCTTTCCATTATACTTCCGGCTAGCCTCCTTCTGGGCCTCCTCTTCACTTTTTGCCACTACCCAGTGATCAATGTAAGCACCAAATTCCTTCAGGATGTCATCCTCTAATGTGACATACCATGCAGGTATTTGGTGACCCCACCATAGCTGTCGAGAAATGCACCAGTCACGCATATTTTCAAGCCACCTGTAAAATTTTGTCTTGATCACTTTGTGCTCCAATATAATAATTCAAAAAAGACAAAAAAAAAACTAAGTTGAGTGAAAAAACACTACTAAGTTGAGCAAATCACAAGTTTCCACCCAGCATTCACTTCATCACACTTCTCATGCAATAATTTATTGAAAAAATTTGTTCATATGATTGATTATTTTGTATAGCGGTAAAGAAGAATGAAAGAATCATGGTGCATAAGCACCATTTTTCTACTTCATTTATACTAATAACGAAACAATTTGCCATTGGTTTTGATCTATAAAAGTAGAGTGTTTTGACTATAAATAATTTATGATAATTCCTAATTTTCAAATAAATAATGATATCTTCCAACCCTTTCCATTTCCCATTACCCGTCACCAAATTCAAGCTTGAGATATTTCTTGTCAATAAAATCATATTTATGAATATTATTTTATTAAATTATCAAATTATTGTAGAAATGCCAAGATATATATCTCTACAAGGAAGGACTGACTGCATTTTGGTTTGAAACCATAAATTTCAGAGGAACGCTCAAGGGTGCAGGCGTTGTAATTTCTCATTGTAATAAATGGTAAAAATTAACCAAAGCAAACAAAATGAGATATAAGCACCTCTTCCAATCAGCTGAATATTGTTTTGGAATAATTTCTATCTCTTTGTTTTCCTCATCCATGACAGCACGGAGAGCTTCTTTTGCCAAATCATGGCACCTGACATACCACTGAGGTTTTATCAGGGGTTCCACAACATCATTGCTTCTTGAACATACACCAAGGCGCATCTCATTGTTTTCAGAACCTCTGTAAAGGCCCTAAATGAATGCAGAAAAAAAATGAAACATGAGTAACTGCAACTTTTTTACTCGCCAGCCATCACACAGACATAAAGAGACATACCCAATGAAAATTTACAGAAATACAAGTATCAGGGAAAAGTAACATTGAAAACTTACATGAGGAACTTACTAAATTGACATATCTTATGCAAAAAGAAGCACATCATGCAACATAGGCAAAGGAACAAAGGGAAAAATAAGTTCACAGCATTAACCATATTATGCACCACCAATAAGCAACCACTAGTCAAATTCCGCATGCTTATACATGCACTATCTAAGCATATCACAGAACATGTTTGTTGACCTGACAAACCAAAGGCTTCATAGTCTAAAAAGAACCAACACCTTCTTCTGTAATGCTTCTGATACAGCCTCTCGAGCTTTAAATCGTGGCATACCCACAAATTCAGAGCCTCCATTGGTATTTATTTTCCCATCGTCAGTGAAAATATTAATGAACTCAAGATTGTGCCGTTTTCCAACCTCAAAATCGTTTGGATCATGAGCAGGGGTAATCTGCAAGGAGTTAAGCAAGTAAACTCATGGCATAGTACCGGTTGAAAAGAAATTAGGATGCAAAAATAAGATCACACGTAAAGAAATTACCTTAACAGCCCCAGTTCCAAAAGTTGGATCAACAAGAATAGCATCACAAATTATAGGAAGCTTTCGACCATTAAATGGATGGATTGCAAATTTCCCTTGAAACTGCTTGTATCGTTCATCATCAGGATGAATAGCAATAGCAGTGTCGCCAAGCATGGTCTCTATTCGAGTTGTGGCCACAATAATTTCACCGAGGTTCCCTTCCAAAGGATATGCAAATTTTGTTAAAACTCCAAACTCCACTGGTTTATCATATCCAGGAACCTTTAGCAGCGTCCTTTCTTTAATATCAATATAGTCCACCTGCATGCGGCAGGCAATTACATTATAGTCATTTTTTTTATATAAAATACATCTAATACTGAATGCATCACTCAAAACAATCAAGTAATAACATTGCCTACCTCAATATCAGATATTGCTGTTAGTAGGACACAGTCCCAATTCACTAAACGAAGGTCCCTGGAATAGTGAGACAACAATAGTAACATCTCCAAAAATAATCCATATAGACCCAATAGTAATGTAAACCATTTGCGAGGAAATTGAGGGCTTTAAGGAGTACTCAATATTTTCTCATCAAATTATTGGCACATCAGCATGGTGTCGTTAATTAATTTACATAAAAGTCCCAGAGAGAACAAGATATGACTACTGAATTAACCATTCACCTTTGCTTGCTCCATTCTTGAACAGTTCCCCATTAAACTGCCTTCTTAAGAGGACAAGGTGTAAAAGCAAGCAAGTACGCTATTATATAAGCATCAAATACAATCCATGACTTGAACATTTTTTTTAAGCTATCAATTTCACTGCATATAAATTGTCATTCATCAATCCTTTACTTCAAATTTGCATTTCCTAATATTTCATCACAGCCTTGCTATGAGCAATACCTTAAGACATTTCATACTAGAAAATTGTTGCAAGTGGCTATATATTAGGTCTAATTAGATGCTCCCAGCATCAACTCACCTATAGACAAGGCCCTGCTTATATAGTCTCACAAAAGCCTCAGTCACAGCCTTTGATCTTCTTTCATCCATCGTGAAGCTCTGAAGATAAAGAGAGGCAGGATTAATATGAAATCCATATATGACTCTTGGATGCCATGAGAAAGATTGACATAATTTTTGAATAAACTCTTGGCAAGTTATGATCTACATCTTTACCTCACGAGACCAATCCAAAGAGGCTCCTAAACGACGTAATTGCTGTAATATTGTACCCCCATACTTGTTTTTCCAGTCCCAGACCTATTGTGCCATGATTTACCAATGTACATTTTGTTGGCAATGGCATAGAAATATAATTACCAAATTAGTATGGTGACTTTAAAATTGCTTTAGAAAACATACCTCCGATATAAATCTCTCGCGACCTAGATCATGCCTAGTTAAACGCCTTTCACGCATTATCTTCTTCTCCACAACTACCTGTCACAACAGTCATACTGTCATCATCTCACAAATAAAAGAAACACCAGTATGTGTTGAGAACTAGTGTTCTACATCAAACCTCACATAGCTCAGATCAAATACAAGGGAGAAAAAAATTCACCCAGGCAGCATTAAATGGCATATGCAACTAAAAAAATGAGCAAGAAACGAAGGAGGCCTCCTATACCACCCTGCTACAAGATCCACAATGGATGATAAATAACAAGAGAGCTAAGAACTGCTTAGCATTAGTTCTACAAGAAAAAAAAACCTGTGTTGCAATCCCAGCATGATCCATCCCAGGCACCCACAGTGCATTGTATCCAGACATTCTACGCCAACGAATAATTGTGTCCTGCATGCAACAAATAACATTCAGATGATTGGTTTTAAACAGCTAAACTAAATACACATTCCACATATGCGCTACCTCTATTGCAGCTGTGAGGGCATGACCAATGTGGAGAGCACCTGTCACATTTGGTGGAGGCAGTACCTGAAAATACAGCACAATTAGATAGCTCCGTGGTGCTCAAATTGACACCAACAAGCTAATTAAAAAACATACATGCTGATTCCCGCACCTCTTGAATGTCCAATCATATTTAAAACTTCCTATCCTGGGCCTAAATGTTAAAACTAATACGATGGCAAAGTAAGTTTCTCATGGACATAAACATCAAGATCATGACTCAGCCTTTCAATATGCATGCATCAAATATGAATATAGAATTTTTTTTCATCTCTTTTTCAGTACTTCAGAATCAGTGAAATAAAGAACATAACTCAAATCTTTCCAAAACTAATGCTAGATACCATACTTCTGATCGCATGCCACATCCTCTTCCGACTTATAGTGGAAGGTCAAGGAAGAAATGTGGTGAAACAATAGATAATGTATGAGCTGGAGGTTCTGACTTCTGAACAAATTCTAAAAGGGTAATTAATAGGGAAGTTAAAACGAAAACTGTCAATAATCTGTCTTGTGTGTTCTGTCTAAAGTCCTATATGTGTCTTTAAATAAGTCAAGTATTGTATTTGTGCATGTTAGGGATAAGATCAGCTACGATAGTAGTTAATTATTGTCTTATGCGGAAAATGCCAGTTGTTGTGCTGGAATATTAAGTAGCCTCTGTCAGAACTTTTATGTTTTCAGATTATAAGTATATCAGAATTTTCAGGGAGAATCTCCCAGCTTTGAGAGTGCTTGAGTTCGAAATTCAAATTCAAATAACTCTTTAAGATTCTCTCCTTCCCTGAACTCTTCTAAACTAATGATTTCAAATCTAATAAGCACTGCATAGTGATATAACAAAAAATAATTTGAGATTCAGCGTGCAGAGATTTCATCCTATGAAAAATGACTAAAAATAATACTGTTGGATTTTCACTCTTACTCAAACTATAAAATAGATCATTATAAAAAGAACAAAAGAGGGGCAAACAGACTTTTGATGAAAAGGAATGCAAGACAAAGAAGGATTACTTCCAATATATTCCCTCCGTCCTTATATATAAGAGATTTTCTAAAACCCCTTTTTGTCCCAAAATATAAGAAGTTATTAGCATATTTTTTTAATGAATGGATCATTATATCCTTATTAAATTGGAAAAAGAAAAATACAAGTACTCTCACTAATTCACTTTGAAAAAAGAGATTTATTTTTTATTTACAATAATTAGGAGCAAAACTGGAATGTTGCTATGCTTTTAACTAGATAACCAAATTTTTTTGGTTTGCGTGATTCGATAAAAAACATTTTATGTATAAGGATGGAGGGAGTATAGCACAAGGCTACCCTACACTCCATTAATCATGTTTAGTTTGTGGATATAAATCTCAATGTTGTCTGTTGCATTGAAAATTGGACCAGAAAACAAGGGCATGAAAAACTAACATGTAGACAAACAGTGAGATACTCACAATGACAAAAGGTGATTTGGAGCTGTTGGCATCTGCCACAAAGAACCCTGATTTCTCCCACCATTCATACCACCTAAATTTTTAGCAGAACAGAAAAGATAAGGACTTCGCATAACCAAAAAGATAATTCATAGGAAGATGTACACAAGACTCACGATTTCTCCACCGAACGGGGACTATACTGTTTTGCCATTTGACGAGACATGTGTTTCTTCTGACCTGAAGGAGTCTCAGGGTCTATGAAATCTTCAGGGTTCTCATCGCCTGCGCGCCTTACATTCTTCCGTTCACTTTTTTTAGAGGTATTACTAGATGATTTTTGTTCCTGTTCCTAAAACAAAGTGGAAAAGTGGAAATTCAGAACATTACTCGCAGTATCATATTGATTAGATAGATAAAAAATAAATTTCTAATTTAAAAGTAGCAGAACCAGTGCTGCATTTGCACAGAAGGGAAGGGAAATTCAATCACCTGACGCTTAGCAGCTTTCTCAAGAGCTTTCATTTTCTTCAATTCCTTTTCTCTTGCCTGCCACAAATCCAGAAACATTGTCACATGAGGAAATTACGAACATCTTACTCCACATCCACACCCCAAAAGAAAAAAAAAAAAAGATCCTCTGTAGTTTTACAACTGCATTTCTCAGCCAATTAAATTCCTCTGAAAACCAACATTTACTTAATATGCGCGTGTGAACTCTAACAAAAAGCATTACTTTTTACTTTACAGTCAAACAGGAGCTCAATGCATATATGAACGAAATGAATATAAGGGATAAACAAACGGAGCCACAACTTTCTGATCAAGATTATGTTGCCAACGTTAAGAATCCTATAAACTGTCCAAAAAAGATGGTAGTGAAAACCTTCTCTTCTTTCTTCTTCTTCTTCTCAGGGTCTTCCACCTCAACTTTCCTCTCAGATTCCATTGTAAGTGATCAGTGAAGCTCTACTGTAATAGATTCGATCAGGATGAAGATTCTGAGTAGTGTGTGAGATAAGGAAGCCCAGGAAGGTTTTGGCCAGCCACCAATAACGGCACTTGGAAAACCCTAGACGGCGCGCGGAAATGAAATGAAGGAATAAACGACAGTTACTTGCGTTGTGTGCGTTGTCGATCCGGTGACTGGCTAAACGACGGGACCAATCAGGTTTTAGTGTTTTATGGTAAATTCTCAGTTGAACCCGACATGACTCTCCTTTTAGGATGCGAAGGTTAAGAACTTAAGATTAATACATGTTACATAGCTAATTCTCACAAGATATTCAGGCTAAATAAGAAGTTACTTATTTAAAAAAAGTAAAGGAATTAATTTAGAATTTAAATTCAAAAAACATTTCACTTTTTTTATTGGAAAAAATATTTCACTTTTTATTATCATTTAATGCGTTTCAGTTTAGTTCAACAAAAATATCAAACCTCAAGTCAACATTTGGAAGAACTATTCTTCTATGGGCGGTGCACCAAGAATTACTTAATTAGAAGATAATTTGATCTAAGATAATATATACTATTGTTTGAACTCGAAAACGAGTGAATCCCAAGCCATTTTGGGACCAACAACTACATAAATTGAGTAGAAAACCATAAAAATGTTATAAAGCAAAATTGCCAACCGCTGTTCATGCTAGCTAGCTAGGCATGTAGTTGACTAATTGTGCCTTATCGCATTATATTGCATTTGATTGTCCCAGTTCGTTCTTTAGAATTTAAATAGGCTATTTGACTCGTATTATGGATTTACGAAAATAAATTTTGATTTTGTTTAATTTATTTGAATATTCATATTTTCTGTAGAAATTGTTTAGTGCACATAACATGTGTATATTACTAATTACTAATAAATATAATAAAAAATGGATAGTTAAATAATATATTACACAACTGTGATTAAATAATATATTTGCTCTCAAATTTCGTTTCTCGTCTCCCAAGAATGGCTGACTTGGTATAAAATCCAAGCAAATTTGTGCGCGATTTTCCTTGTCTTGAGTGGTAAGAGATTTCATGTAATGCCAAAACATTTTACTCCAAAACTTGTGAAAATTTTTCTAGGGGTATTATATATAAATTTCATATAACACATTTAAATATCACAAGATCCATTAACAACTTAGCAAAAGAAAATGACAAGGCATTGCATCACAACAATTTTACTTGAAATTTAAATAGATTAGTTCAATAGATTGTGGAATTTTTTTTTTAATAAAGATTCTATGGTAAATATTTATAATGATAGTTTGTGACTGATAATCCCTTTCTTGTCTTTCAAGAAAGGTTATATAATACATCCATGTAAAATTGGAAATTGTTTTCATTCCATTGAAATTATCTTCACTGTGTTTTGCAGGCTTAAAAAAAATAAAAAAATATTGTATTATGAAAATCCTTTTCTCAGAAGAGTCAGAGGAAAACTTATTAGACAAAACTCTTCATGACCGGCAATTATTTCGAAAGTGATCAATAATAAAAACAATTTTGCTTGGAGCCTTCCTCTAGTTTTCAGACGCAGTTGGATTCAAGTCGTGAAATTTACATGCACGTCAAATAACTTAATAAAAAAATCAACTATGAATAAAGTATGAATATCGTGCGCGCGGGTGTCACTTAGCTGACTTTTATCCCCCTAAAAATTTGAAGCCAGTTCCTAATGTTCTATCATTGTTAATTCAGAAAAGTTTCGCGAAGCCCACTGTGATAAACAATCTGAGACAGGCAGACAGCAAACTAATTTCTAGTTTTTTGACCAACAAGATAGGAAGTTGACTTTGATGCCCACAAGTTTAGATTTGCGTATTACGTCCAAAAAGTAGAAGCAAAATGCGCACGCCAAATGTTTCATGTAAAGAAATTTTACCCAAAATGAAATGTTTGAATAATAAGTTATGCTTAAACATCTATTATGATGAACTTCGCCTTCTATTAGCTTTAGATCAAAGCCAAGTTGTGCTTCTTACTACGAATTTCTAGGAGGAATGGGTTATGAGGAATAGGGATATATGCAAATCTAAATCTAAATTCCAATAAAGAAAAGTAGCATCCCTCACATCTGGGGGGAAAAACAGAACAAAAAAACAAAGGGCCATCGTGGTAAGCATTTGAAACAAATGCATGCACGAGGAAAAAGACAACGAACTCGGGATGTATCGACAAAAGTAATTAAGTAATCATGGCATGAGCTTGATGATCTGAACTGATCCACCCACCGATTTAATGTCCATTAAGCCAACACTATTTTACCTTCTTGAGGAGCGCGGAGGTCCTAAACTCAGCATCGTCCCTTATAAAACTCCACCAGAGGTATGTTATTGGAATGGCCGTTGCATGCCAAAGTGCATGAGCATCCACATATCCCATGTAAGGTGGGAACTCATATATCTCGAAGAGCATAGCCAGATTTCCTCCCACCACTACCAGCCACAGTTTCCACTGCCCTGGATGGTGTGAAATACCAGCCCAAATTGCCCAAACAAGAAGATGGGTAATAGCCATTGCCATGCAGGCTTTCATGTGCAAACCTACAAGTGACAGTTGAATTGTCAGCTCATTACCCAAAGACAATACATCATAATGAACAGTTAAGCAACTCAAGAAGTTAATTGAGCACAAGTTCATAGGATTTGTGTAAACCAATTTAATTTCATCTAGTTAAAATAAGCTCACTAAGATGATAGATGGAACAGGTAAACAGGACTGCACAAAGCGACTCGACTTTTTGAGATTAGGACTATATTAGCTGTCAAGGATAAAAGACCACGCTTCCATAGAGGCAGAGCACCAAGCTATTTGCAAAGAAAACAATGATCACATCACCAACGACAAAGTCAAGGCAGAGGATGAAAGGGAAGTAACAAAAAATGCAGAAAAGAAGACTGAACAAATCATTAAAGGAAGCTAGCATATCAACTCTCTAAGAAATGAAGTTGCATCTTTTGTTATTCTTAGTATAGTTTAATTTAAGAATATAAGATGTACCATTTAACACTTCGTTTGAAAAAAAGAAGAAATCATTACCATAATCAAGTTTGTAGAAATTCAGATACAGGATATGAGTTGTCACAATGACTATCAAAGGTGCAGCGACCATGATTCTTGCTGCCTCATCTCTCACATTAAAAGCACGCAGTATTGCTAGAAGGAGGGAAAATCCAAGTAAGGCCACAGCAGAAGAGTGATCTAGCTTCTCTGTTAATTCTACATCTCTACATACGATAAAGATTGGGATATCACGTCAAAACAAAAAGGATGATGATGATGAAGATAAAAATCTCAGAGCCCAGAAACCCTTTTGACCCTCAAGATAAAAATTAAATACGCATAACTCAGAAAGATACTTTATTATAATATAACACCATATCATGCAAAGAAGCATGGACAGAAACACTATAACAAAACAAAATCTGAAAGAGTTCAGCTACTTTTTGGTGAGTCACATCAGTATAAGAAGTTTGTACGACACATGTAAAGCAAAAACACTTCTGTATGATTCATTTGTATCGTGTATTAAAGATATCATAATCTGCTTATTTCCTACGCATTTAAAGATTCTGCCCAGGCGAAGATTTATTTATTTATTTTATTTTATTTTTAACAAGAGAAAAAACTTTTGCAAAGAAAAAGGAGGATATGATTTATAGCAAAAAGAAATTTGTTTTGCAATGGAACTGGAAGTAAATTAATGTCAAGGCACCATGAATGTACAGCAAGTCTGCTTCAAGTGCTAGTACTTAAAAAAGTATTGGATACTGCCCGCAAGTCCTGACAATAATAGATATTGAAAGCAACTTACCTACTATGGAAAATAGCGCCCCAAAACCATGAATTCATTGATAGGATCCCATAGATATGCCACAAACCAGTGTACTCATAATAAGTCTTCTTATCTGGCCTTAAAGGCAACTTATAGTAGACAAGAATGAAAAAGGAGATCCAACCATGAAATTGCATAGCAAGGTTAAGGGCAGAGAGTGCAACAGCCACAGGTTCCTGAAACCATAAGTAAATTGTCCACGCTTCAATGAGAAATAACAAAATCCACATTACAGCTATATCATTTTGGTGAGACTTATGCAAAAACCTGAATCCCATAGACACGCCGAAATGGCCATTTTCCATGATACTTGACAGGCTTGTCACCAAGTTTCATTCGTTCTTCCTCTCTAGACTGCATGCAGTGATACTGGCAGTCAGTCTGACAGTCCCATTGTTTCCACCTTAGGTAGAGAGGTTCATTCATATACCATGGACCATCAATTGGTTTTCCATCAGAAGAGAATTTACAATGTTGAAAGCATATATTTCCTACACATCCAGATTTCTTGCACTGTTCCACACAATCCCTGATATTTGATAATGACCCAATATTATCATACAATACATTGAGTACAATAATTATCTAAATGTTATTTCCTATGGAAACTCAGAGTAATATCAATATGATTTGTTAGCCTAATCACCACTGCATCAGTCAGAATCACAACATTCACGTTTCTTGCATCTGTCTCTCCTCATTTACAATTGATAATAACTACAAGAGAGAGACAGTGAGATATATCACATTCAATTTATGAAGAGTCTATCCTTTACTGCTTTCGTTTTTATCAAATTATACTGTTATGTAGAAATCATCTTCAATGCTTACAAGTTATAAAAAATAATCGAGCTTTTGGCTTTCCTTTCAAAGGATAGGATATCTATTCAACTAACATAACCCATGCAATATAAATATATGTACAAGTATTTTGGAGCACACTTTTTACTGTAGCCAAGTGAACTATCAAGTATCAAAATAACGTGAAGTGTTGATGAGATTAAGTGCTAGTTGATTGGGAAGGCTGCCGTTGACCAAGAAGGGAAGGGGTTTCGGCTATATCAGTCATGAAAAGGAAGTAATCAAATATGCCTTCGCCAAAAAGCAGCAAAAAACGACGACGACGTACGATAACAACCACCGTTCGCATCACCTTTATTGCAGTTACATAAACTCTACAATTTTAGGAAAGTTAAAAAAGGCACACGATATGTGAGTAGGCAACTAGGCTTGAAAATGTTAGGTGCAGAAATGGGTAATGTATCTAGACATAATCAGAGGAATTATTCTCATATGCAGATTAAAACTTGTCATCAGTAACTAAAAAAGCAATAGAACTTCCACAACCTACCAAGTCAACGTTATCTCAAAAGTTGATACTTCACAAAATCTTCCAAAGAAAAACAAGTTACTAAAATTAAAAGAACGTGAAGAAATCCAGTTTTCATCTTTCTGAAAATGCGAAACAAGATTCTCTCCGCAGAGCAAGACTAGCGATAGAACAATCCCCTGCCTCAAGGAAATTGCCCAAAGGCAAATTTTGAAATAAAAGATCGAGTTGCGACGGAGAATTAAAAGGAAATCAGAAGAGAAAGATCGAATTGAAGCTTACTTGTAAAGCGGATCAGCCTCACCATCGCCGGCGACGAAGACACGGACGAGGCACAAGAAAGCAGGAAGAAGCAAGAAGCAATGAAGGCGAGGCATGGAAATGCGAATCAAAAGGTGTCCAAGATTCTCAGGCAAAGGGAAGGGCGATTGGGGAGTTTGGCATTAGCCAAGAGAGCGGTCGGGTTTACACTTAGGGAAGGATGTGGAAAGAGGTAGGAGAAGGACGAGGCGAGGCGAGTGAGTGGAAGAGCGAGTTGGAGATGTGGAAATTGAGAAAAAGTGGGAGCCAAACCTGGACCAGAAAATCTCGTGAGTAGCTGATCTCCACGGCGATTTACGAGAGGACACGTGTAGATGCTGATGTTGTCATTTGATTATTATATGGGATAATCAAGTTTAGATCCCACTACACATCTATTGTGCACGCGTTGCCAACTTGCCATGTTAGCGGTAGACCTATAAAATTTGGTACTCTCAACCAATATACCAACATGAATTCATCACGTAGATGTCACATTCTCACTGCGTCTTCAAATATCTCAATATACATGAATAATTGAGCATAGTACAACAGTAATGATTAAACCCAATTATCTATAAATTTATTGGGTTGTACTCCCAAATCAATTCATGCAGTTTTAAAAAATTAATTAATTATAATAATTATTCTGCAATTAAAATTATTGTACGAAGATGTCCTTATAATTAGTGTCTATTTTTTTCACTAACTTAATGATGTCATCCATTTATGAGCAGTAATTTAAAAAATATAATAAATATTTTTTAAAATTTAAAATTTTACTTATAAAAAATAATAAATCATATGATATTTTCTTTTATAATAAAAATTGAAAGGAATAGGAGACTTGAGCATAATTGTCCCTAGACATGTATCACCTCATTGTTTTCCGGCTGTTTTTTAACATAAAAATAGAAACATCAAGTCTTACAAAGTCCGCCATTTTGTGCTATCAAGTATCAACAACAGAAAAATAGCACGCAAATATATAAAAGCTGACATATAATTATACTATGCACAAAATTCATTCAATGAGATGTTAAAAAGTAAAAGAATCTAGAGTCCAATTTGTGATTGAGAAAATTTGAAATTGCATCACTGGTTAAATAAAAAATTTATCGGGAAACAAAACAAATTAACAAAATTGAAAGTTAGATCTTATGAGTTAAAAAAAAAAATTTACAAGTGTAACTGATCATAGGATGGTACTACTTTTAATTAGATGCGCCGTCCTTCCCATAAATTATAGCAACCCTCCAATGTTTGTCGTTTGATGACGGCTCCAAATCTCCAACCACGTCTGATTAAATTTCTTTCATGTTTATTTTTCGTCGTTTGTGGGTGAACCACTTTTTTTCCCACCGTTTCCTTCTTTTCTTCTTCCAATTGTCAAAGAAAATAAACACTAGTACAAGGCTGTTTTGACAAGGGCATGGAAGAATTTGTGAATGGTTTTTTTAAATGTCACTTTTTTAGAAAATATGTTATGGAGCATGAAACGTAATGATAAAAAAACAGATAAAAATCAATGATAGATTGGAAAATTTTAAAATAACATACAAACTCTCTTATTAGTACATTAAAATTTATTTGTCGAATAAAAATATATTAAATATATAAAACCAATCATTTAAGTTTTACCTTTCCTTAATTTATGCGCTGAGTCTGTAGAATCTAGATGCTAATGGATAAAAAATGGAAGGTATGCTAAAATAATAACTAGAAAGCTTGCTGGCAGAAGTTTTAAATAAAAAATTCACAAATATTAAATGAAGTAGTTTTGACCATCAATCATGATTTTAATTTATATGTGTAGTGATTAGATAAGTCTTTAAAAATAATATTAGATATCTTTTAATTTTTTTATGTATGTTTTAAAAATCTCCCTCTATTAATTAATCACTAATTGGGGAAATTTTTGCTTATTTGAAAATGATCTAGGAGAAAAAGACCCCGCTTATTAGTATATGATGCATGCACTCCTCGCAGAGAAGAAATTTAAAGATGCCCAACATTTTTAAAGAAAGAGTTCAAAAATAAATCAATACCAAACAACATATCGTATTAATAAAAAACTGCAAAGATAACCGGCTTACTAATAAAGAGAAAATTTTGCTTTTCTAGAAAATTATTTAAGGAAAAAAATAATTATTAATATATGGTGCCCAACATTTTTCGAAAGAAAGTACAAGAAGCAAAATACATTTAACTCAATTATTAATTAATTCAATCACCATGCCAACAAATTAATAATTAAATTGTTCTAAACAATGTAAAATATCAAATTTATAACAAATTATGTTATAACTCATAATACTTGCTATTGCTATTTTTTCAAAATCCCACAAATTGTATGTGCCCGTGGGCTTGTATAGTCTCCTCTTCCTCATACTCCATATATGAATAATGAATATTATCTTCTCTTAATAAGGTTGGATTTATTGGAAATGACTTATCTTTTATAATGTGATAAATGAAAGTTCAAATTTGTATTAAGAGAAGTGCTAATATTTAATATTTAAAAATACTTTTAAAAGGATTACCGATGCGTAAGGGAAATACATCTTTTTTTTTTTTGGCAAAGCTGTCTGTGAACTTTATTATATTTATAATGTGCTGCAGAAGCTTGCGTGTAGTTCACTAATTCTTCAAACTCAAAACCGTGGACTTCTAATTCTCCCTTTGCGAGTTCACAATGAGCATGGACGACAGAAGTGAAATAAAAGCAAATATGGCCTTCGTCCAAACTTTATTTATATAAATTAATTGATGATGTTATTGCTTAATTTCACGGGGTTTTACTTGAATGAATTAATGTAGTATTAACTATCAAGGTCAACCCATATTACTCCTTTTCATGGTTTACTTAAATGTATAACTAAATTATTGATTGGTATGTTTAACATTACATGTTCATTAGTTTGGTAGCGCTAATAGTCAAACTAATAAATTGTGAATTGATATCTTTAGAGATTCAATGATCATATATTCCTCGAGATCAACGTTTGAAAAAAGGGGGTAGGGTTTAAGTCCAGATTATGAACTAGTTGGCAGGAATAATAAATTTCTCATATCTAGAACGAATCCTTTATAAATTCCTATAATTAGTTATTTTCGCCATCTTTTTTATAATTTTGTATGTGTGCGTGTTCATATTTTTCGTGGATGTTGACTTTTCTTTCATTTCCTTGAAAAGCACGACGTACCAAAAATTCCTTGGCTTTCAAGAGAGAACCTCTACTTTTGTTAAGTTGTAGGCGTGCATGGTATGATTGACAATAAATAATTGTGAAGAGAGAGTTGACGCGTTATCTTGAAATTCAATTCCAAAATTATATTGGTTTTCCAAAAATTAAATACCTAGCTATATATGAACTATCGTCTTAATTTTCCCCGTCAATATATTGCATTACAATATAATAAAATAAGCCGTGACAATATATAGAAATATAGAATCATTACAGCTGTACTATTCATCTTACTCCCTAAATTATTGAACAATATATGTTAACTACGCTGTGGGTTGCATATTGTATCTAGTCTATTATAAGCTACGCTGGTCATATCATATAAATGGGGAAATTTTATATAGATTTAATGTTATGCTATATTGATATATTGATTTTTTGCATGTGCCTGGTTTTAAATATAAAAGTAAGTCCCGATGAGAATTAATTAGCAATTTAGCAAGTCATGATAATACATAACTCACCACTTACTCACTCAATCATGTTAATTTTTATAAAGCTTTTCTAAAACAACACTCAGTTCATAGCTTAATGTTATAAGACATCAGAGAATAGAGTGTTTATTAGCCCCTTTGTTCAAAAATGTAAGGTATTTTTTGAAGGGTTGAATGTTAAAAAATGTAAAGCATTTTTAATCTTTCGAGGTAATCATTATCTTTTTTTTCAAGTGTCTCTATTGATAATGACTTTATATTTATTGTAGGATATTTAATAGGGGTGAATATAAAAAAATAGGGTTAATTTGAAAGTAGGTAATTATTATATTGAGAGGTGAGATTCAGTTAAAAATATCTTATATTTTTTAATAAAAAAATATAATTTTTCAATATTAATTGTTTTTTTAATACATTAGGAGAGTTCAAATTTTCGACCTTCAAGAGGATAAGGAAGGGTGCTTGTCCTCCTACACTTCAATAATCCTTTTGGAAAAACTAGAACTTTTACTTGTAAAAAAACATTAAAATAGATTTTGACCCCCACTTGAGTTTTATTTTCAATTTGCCTCACATTCATTAGTTTTTAGATTTGTCCCTGATTAATAGCATCTGTTTAATTTGGTTAAAAATATTAGAAGTGTCTCTTATAAACATGCACCAATTTTATATAAAGTGAGACTTACATTCTAATTTCACAAATTATTATACGTAATAAATAAACACCCATGGACACCATTCCGCTCTGCATAACATACAGAGATTTCAAGTCGTCAAACTACATGTAGGTGAGTTTCTTTTTAAGTTCTGTAAAGAGTATCATTCCAAAGAATTTAATATTTCTGTTTAAACAACAGAAGAATGTTTCTCTAAACATTTTCCCATAAAATATGATTAAAATTTCAATCATCAAGTGTATTTCCAATTTGAACATGTTTGATATAATTTTATTAGCGTAGAAGATTAAACACAATTCAGTTTTTTTTTTTTTTCACCAAACGTTTGTCGCAAATGAGTGGGCCGTGACCATAATCTTACCTAAGACATACGTGAACGGTGAACATGCAACCCCGATGAAAAGAGTAGCTGCCCATTGGACCAGATGAGCTAACGCAGAGGCGTTTTCTAAAGTGAACCTGTCTTGGCTTTCAAGGAATATATTCGAAGTGATGAAAAATCAAAAAATAATTATGCACAATCAGTTAATCACATTCTTCTATATTATTCTTTTTTCCTTCACTGTTACTGTTTCTTGGATAAAGATACATTTTTACTTCTAATATATTTTTTAAGAAACACTCAATATTTTAAAATTTTTATTAAAATAATTTTAATAAAATTATTAAAGTAAAATATTATTTTTTATCAAATTTTTTAACAATCAACATTTGAGGTCAACGTTAGAATTTTAACGAAAAGGATAAAATATTCTGTTTTAATAAATTTAAGAGTAAAATTACTCCAATAAAAATTTAAAATATTAAATGTTCTTTAAAAAAATATATTAAAAATAAAAATATATCTTAGCCCTTCTTTCTTTTCCTGAATAGGATTCCAATTTCAAACATTTAAAAAAAAATAAAACAGAAAGATAAATGGGGTCGGAGCAGCTGTCATCAACAAATCATCTGTTCCAAAATTTTGGCATGAGAGTCTGGGAGCAATGATGAGTCATCACAATGATTACCCTGTCCAGTATATAAAATTAACCAATTTTAGATTCTCAAAAAAGTTCTCCCCATTAAGTAAAATTTAAATTTTATTACCCATGTCCAAAAATTCAATAACATTTTTAACTTTATTTCAATTAAATATATATATATATATATTTCAAAATTTAAATACTTTAACATTTATTAATCTTTTCAAATTTAATAGAGACAAAAAAAGGTAAAAATGGATAAAAAATATTTTTTCTTATCCTACAAATAGGATTAAAGGAATAATAGTTATAGTTAATACATTCAAACTTGTAAAAAAATATTTAATTTTTCAATTTTGTTCTTCGTTAAAATTATAAGATAAAGTATGTCTAGAAATTACAACTTGGTGCCATTAAAGATGGACAATAATGATAAACTTTTTTCTATATTTAGGACTAAATAAAATTTTAAAATTTTTCCATATAATTAAGACCTAAAGGAGTATGATAACTTGTTATTGGAGAAGTCTCATATATTTGATCTTATATACTTAATTATATAATTGTCCAATCAAATGAAGATAAATTAATTTTAAAATGCTACTAAAATTAATAACAAGAATTTGTTATGAGATATGTAATATAGTATAAAATATTTATATGTCTTAATTTAATTAGAAACAATAATTTAAATTATGCAAAACTAATAAAATATTTTTTTCAACATATGCTGGTATATACCTATATTAGTAAATGATTAGGAAACAAGATTGATTGAGAAAAGAAATAGAGCGATGAGTCGTATTAATTAGAGTCATGGTAATGAGGATTAGTGAGGGGAGTGATAGAGAGTAGAGAAGAGAGGAGTGAAATTAAAGGTAATAGCGGGATAATGGGGCATCATGTTCCCAAACGTGCAACTTCATGGAAGGCACTTTAATTCTTTCCGTATAGAAAGTCAATATATTCTTTTGGGCTAGACAACAAGGGATATCCCATCTCATTTTGTCCCTCTCATTCTCAAAATTAAGGTTGTGCGTAAAGTCTGTGTGACAACATCATGTGCCTCTGTTTTTTTCGCCCCTTTTCACATACCAGACACTAATATTGTGGCTGTTCCCTCTCACTGTGTTAAGGCTTTCGCAATTAATTTGTTCCGTTCACACACAAGGAAAGATTAAGGGATTAAACTGTGTAATGCTTTGGCCAAAAAACAAATTGTGTAATGCTTCTTTTGCATGAGTAGTGAAAATGGCAAAAAAAAAAAAAGTGAAGATTAAACATTTATTGTATTTGGATTTGGATGGATTGAAGAAAATATATTGCATACATGTTTAAAACCTAAAATGAGATTGATATTGATTTGGTTGCATCAAGAACTTGTATATGCCACACTGTTTGAAATTTAAAAATTGGCTAGCCTTGATTGCTGGAATAGAGATTTGAAAGCAGTGGCATCTTCTATATGGAGAGTTTGTATGGTAACATTTAAAGGAGAGATTGTTAGATTATTTCAGTACTAGTAGACTTGAGTTTATGAAGGAATTAAGTTCTACATCGGATAAAATTAAATTTAGTAAGTAATATATAATAAAAGAGAAGGACTCATAAGTGGACTCATAAAAAACCAATTCCAAATGGTCAGGATTTAACTCACAAAATCATGGGATCAAATCTCATTCAATATGAATCTAGAGGCATGCTTTAGCTTTGGTGAGCCCCAAGACTTAATTCATAAATTTAAGCCTTAATTTTTTAAATTAAGATGTGATATTCTTTCATTGCTCTTACTTATTTCTTCTCTTTTTTAATAAGAAGCTTGTGGAGTTACATGTGGGGAGGAAATTATTAGTTTCTTTAAGTGGACCTAAGCTAACCCATAACATTGCTCTTCTCCAATATTTTTTCTCTTCTTTTTCAAAAGGTGGCTCCATATTTACAACAAAGTGACTAATTTCACAAAAACAACAGTTACATATTAAAAAAAATCTAAATATCATGTCTTTTCTTTTTTGGAGGTAATTTTATAAAACATTTTTTTTCTCTAAAATCTGTCCACTTTTAGATAGAAAACTATAAGAAAAAAAAATTATGTTGGTTTTATACCCCTTCTGATTCCTTCTTGGTTTGCTTCTCTTCCATCCAAACATGATGTTCTATTGATCATGGCATTACTAAGTGAACACGTGGGCTCCAAATGTTAACATCTATATACTTCATGGTGACAGAGTTATGACTTTTTGTCACGATCTCTCATCTTCCTTTTCTTCTTACGAATTAGTGAAAAGGATTTCTCAATTCACGTGATTTTAAGGCAAACCAGAATTTGTATTTTTTCCCTTTACATGTCTCTGCCGGTCGGAATTGGAAAATAACCGACGTAGAGATTATCCAGTGTCCAAGCTTCTTTTTTTCCGTTTCGCACCAACAGATTAATGTCCAAAAAGGCGAACAATAAAAACAAAAGACGTTATGAAGCAGTAAATCTTTGCGTTGACATTGTAGTTGTCATAATGATGATAAAAGCGAAGTGGCATTGAATATGACGAATTTATAGAATAAGCGAGACATTGATACTTGACCTGGCAAATCATCACCAACCTTCCCCACACCACTCTCGTTCCTCACAGCAATCATTAACCTTTTTTCCATTAACATGGAATAACATCCTCATAATTACTCCGAGCCCTGAGTTTAAATTAACAGGACTGTTCTTCATATTTCATTCTCGCGGGGCTACAGTTTATCAGAAACTTGAATAGCGAAAGGGCTAAACATGTACAGAAGCTAAGAGCTGAGTTACAAAAACGCCGTGATATTGATAACTGAAGAACTATGTCTATCAAAACAACTTCCTTTACAAACAAGGCAAGACTGCCATTTTTCTCACACTCGTGGTAATAGACATGAAAACATAACATCATAATAAAACCGCTGCCAAATCTAAGCTAAAACTAACATCAATCTGACACAGCAAACTTGATTCAAATGCAGATATCATGTACATCTTAGGCAGGCAAAACTTCCACATGTATGCCAACTTGGGGCACTGCATCAACCACTCTTTAATTAATCCGTCAACAAGTCATTGTGTTTTCAGCAGACAAGAGATGACCTAAGAGATGTTTGGAGTTGCGTGCATGACGACCATCGAATGACAGATTCGGTCACCACAAGGTCAAGTTGCTCACGTTCACCAAGTCCAATTGTTCGGTTTCTCTTGCTGTGGATTCCCAAAACCCTATGTCCATTGGCACCACCTGCCCTTTTAGCCTCCACTGGCTTACGACTACTCGCTTTAACATCCGGTCCACAACAAAGAGTTGAATCTGGTGATAGAAGTAGTTTTCCCAAGCTTGATTCTGCTATACATTGCAGAAAGATAATAAATTGAAGGTGAACCTCAATACCATCACAAGAATTGCAGAGGCATATATCCTACTATTCTTATGCTATGTTTGGATATATGAAATTTGGATTTGAACCAAATCCCTTGTTTGGGCACTTCAAAATTTATGGATTTAGATTCACTTGTGTGCATGAACTTGAAATATATGGATTTCAAATTCGAGATTTGAAATAAAAGACTTCAAATCCAAGTTCATTAATCCAAACGCTACCTTACAGAATTTAAAGCCAGGCAATTATCAGTTCAAAGATAGAGAAACAGTGAAGAGAATTCAAAGATGAGACACTCAACGCATACCTTCACGAATTGTCCTCACAGATTCATTAGTTGACAACTCTAATGTACAACTCCTTTTCTCAACAACAGAATTGGCGCTGAGAAATGCAAAGCTAGGCATTGAAGAAACAGGAGAAGAGAAACCCGAACCAGCAGAATCACCAGGACTCTGGAATGAAAACCCACCCGAAGCTGAACAAGGAGTTGATGGTTCCACCAGAAATGAAGAAAATGATGATCTGCATGTGAAAGTAGGTGACTGAGCATCACATGTAGGAGATTCAGCACCAAAGCTGATGTCCTGATTCCTGGGCATAAAGGAGACAGAGAATGAGCTATCACCAACATCCCATTCACAACAACTTTGGGTGTCACATTCAATTAGTTGTTCAGCTTTTGTCTGATTGCTCTCCATCCAGCAATGATCTACAAAACAAATACTCAAATGAAGAGTCAAGACTAGATGCGTCATGATAAATAATAGCATTTGCACAGTAATCAAATCTAAAGCCGACGATTTCATATTGCAGCTTTCAAGGCCATTTAAAATGAGCATGCAACAAAGAGAAAGTTGGCAATGGCAGGTAAATACAAACTCATTCTTTGGAGAGAGATCATGAGAACAAAAGAGTTGCATAAAATATTTCTACATGACTGCTTAGCCTAGAACCAATACGCATATCATAGATGACTGCATGTGATCATGAAATATTTCCTTATAAGTAATACCAGTTTTAAACATTATGACATCAATTTATTGCTAGAGTTTGGGCCACTTGCCATAAATTGAGCATAAAGGTATCTCACGCCATCAGGGCAGAACAGGCAAGTTCTTAATGGTTGTTTAACGTTCGACAATAAACTTTAAGTATTTACTTTGATTTTGAGATGATAATTCAACTTTACATCATTTGAATAACAATTCGGGTTGGCTTGTATGCTCAAAATTTCCAATGAGAAAAGGTTTCAAGCTTACCTAAAACCTGCTGAGCAGTGAGCCTTCGAGAAGATTCTGTGCAGAGCATTCCCTTAATCAAATCCTTAGCTGATCTAGAAATGTGATCCCAATGTTCAGATGGGAACTTCAAATCAGCAGCCTTAACAGCTTCAAAGATCCGTGACTTAGTCTTCCCCCAAAACGGAGGCATTCCACTAAGTAGAATGTAAAGAATGACACCTGCACTCCAAACATCAGCAGCTTGATTATATGAACCTGCAAGTACCTCTGGAGCTATATAGAATGGACTCCCTACTAATCCATGCAAACGTTGCCCTGCTTAAAACAAAGCCCAGTTTGAAGCAATTGAATTAGTTGCATTTTCAGGGAAACGATAAAACTGCAAAGGAATAATACTCTTCCTAGAAGTAAATAAGACCAGTACCAGGCTTGATGTAGGTTGCAAGCCCAAAATCTGCCAATTTAATTGGAGATGAGGAGGCTCTTGTTGCTAAGAGAATGTTCTCAGGCTTCAAATCTCTATGAACAACCCCATTTTTCATGACAGTACAAAACCACCTGCATGAGGTGCTTAAAGAGAACCCTGGCTTCAGATTCAGAAAATCGTCCATTCTTCTCTAGCCGATGAAATAGCTCACCTCCAGCACAAAGCTCCATCACCAGATGTACAAAATCCTCCTCTTCATAAACTGCCTTGAGATCCACAACATTTGGGTGGCCAGATAACCTAGCCATTATCTCAATCTCAAGTTTGACACTTCGCAGATCATCCGATGTGACCAATCTATCTTTAGCAATTGATTTACAGGCTAAAACTTCTCCACTCAACTTGTCCGTGCACACTCTAATGGACACCGAACTGTCCCCAACCTAACTGTTCGCCCAGAACATAACGATCCTTCAAATTTGAAGACTGCTTTGTGTCCAGGATAGTTTCACTTAGACTAGCTACTTTGAAACAAGTGGTAAGAAGTCGAAGGTTCAGAACCGCTGTTGCTCTTTGCAACACCCATACCAATGTTTTGGCCCTCAATAAACCCAGGTATACAAGGAGGAATTTCCCAAATAGTTCTCTTAGCGGAAACTCCAAACCAAAAGTGCTCAACGGCTACGTCAACCTTGATTTCTCTTCAACACTGTCATCCACCAAATCCCGCTTCAGAGTCAAAACGCTTGAAAAAGCTGAGCTTGGTGGGTGTTTTAAACAAGAAACGCCGTAACCCACGCGACAAAGGGAATTTGGAATGCAAGAGAGTAAACAATAGAACTCAAAACCAGAAATTTGGCCCTTTGGCCAGGAAGACTTGCCTGCCTTTTCCAAGCAGCTGATCTGCACAAAATGATAACGAGACTCGCATAAATGGATATACAAAGGCAGATTAAGAGAAAAAGGATGCCTTTTTCCTTTACAGAAAGATAATAATCGAACAGATCACAAGATAAAAACCTTCCCTACCCTAGATTCTTAAAAAAAAATTAATTTAAATTATGTAACGCCCCATTACAACTTTAACAAAGATTTTGATAAATTTATAGAAGCAAATCATCCTAAATCCTAAACATTAATGAGAATGATGTTAAAAAAGCTCAAAACCCACTACCTAGAAACAAGACAGAACAAAAAATTAAACATACCCCGGATTCGAGAAAAGCCAGCTGGAAAGAGAGAAGGACCTGGGCAAGGAGAGGACGAGGGTGAGGAAGAGAAGGCGAAGCAGAGAGAAGAGAAGGAGTCCGTTGGAGCAGTGGTGGCTCTCAGCTCCGGTGGGCTCCCCCCACGGTGGGCTCTTGTATGGTGGAAACCCCTTCTTGTGGCTTCGTCGCTTCTCTGTCTTTTGAAATTGAAGAGACCTTGCCTCCTCCTCCTCGGACTCCAATACCGGCTTCTAATTTAGTTAATCCCTTTCCTGATATTGAGATTCTAATTCTCTCTCGCTCTCTCAAAAAAAAAAAAAACAACAAAGAAAGAAAATGCAATGATTAGATTCTCTCTCTGATTATTTCTTAATTGATTTCATTGCGATCCTACGCGGCTATGTGCTATTTCCACTATGGTACTTTCTTTTATCCGGCAAAAAAAAAATATATTCACTCCCTCTTAAATTATAAGATATTTTTAAATAAAATTTCATACATTAATAAATTTTATTAAATAAACTTAATAATTTTTTAAATTATAAAATATAAATTTTAAAATATTTTTTATTTAATAACATTAAATATACACTTAATTAGTACTCCCTCTATTTTTATATATTAAAAAAATCATATCACATAATTTAAGAAATTAATTAATTAATAATAATAATATCTAAAAATAAAAAATTAAACTAAAATATTCTATGTTAATTAATGTAAGTATGCATTAATTATTTCTCGTTAATATAAATTATTAAGAGTAATTTAAAAAGTGTTTAATAAATGCTTATTGAAATAAATATAATTTTACTTATATAAAGAAAAAAAAGTGATAGTTTCTTTTACAAAGAAAAACAGATAGAATATTAAATAGAAAGAGAGGGTAATATTAGAATAGGCTTATTTAATGAAATATTAATTTTTTTAAGTGTCTTATATTTTATAATAATAACTTTTTCTTACAAGTATTTTATAATTTAAGATGGAGAAAGTACTATGATACTTTCTCCTAACAAATCCTCATTAGAGATAAAAATAATATAATGAATATTTCCATTACAAAAAGTTAAATAATTTAAATTAACGCATGCCTCTTATTGTTGCCATATATTAGATAGATATTATAAGATATAAGATTATTACCAAAAAAATCCTCATAAAGATAAAAATAATATAATAAATATTTCCATTGCTAAAAGCTATTCTCCGAATGCTTTAGCCTCTTCTTTTTTTTGATGAATGCTATGAAATTTATCAAATCAAAATATCTCAAAACCCAAATGACAATTATAAAGATATTTATAAATTATTTATGAACATAATCATCATTGACATTGAGTGAAATTTAAACTTTTAATATTGCAAGTTAAAAGTCAAAACTTTAGGTTGAATTAATTTTTATTAATTACTTTAGCTCTTTTTCATCCCCATGAGAGGGGTAAGCAATAATAACTTATTAATTTATAATCTATATTTTTGTGTACTATCATCATAACTTATACTTTGCTTCATGCCAGATTTGTAAATTTGATTGATAAGATAACAAGAGATTTCAATAAACAGAATTTTGGAAAAACTTATATTTCAATAAACAATAGATAATTTTATCCTTTCCCGACTACCCAAGTGATAAATCAAACGCAGTTTGAGCACATCATATAAATTATTTTAAAGGGAAGAATCCTTCTTATATTGTGTTCCTAATTTTAAAAAGTAGATGTTGTTAGGTATATATGAAAAATTAAAAATATAAGATATTTTTAATTAAATCTCACTTTCAATAAAGTGATTACTTACTTTTAAATAACCCTATCTTTTTATATTTATTCATATTAAATATCCTACAATAACTATAAAGTTATTCATTAATAGAGATACTTTTAAAAAAAATAATTACACATTAAAAAAATAAAATATTTTATATTTTTTAACATTTAATTTTTAAAAAAATATTTTATATTTTTAAATAAACAGAGTATGTGTCATTCAATTATGGACCACAATGTTTGATGAAAATAGTTCGTAACTCGACATCCTTCGTATTTTAAAAAGTTCTATCATGCTTTTATGCTCAAAAGGAATCTCCTTTCTTGTGGTTAAAATATTGGTGAGGCCTTTTCTATTTAAATAAAAGAGCAGTTAATTAATTATATTAATACAATAAACACAAATAACAAAGCCAAAAGATTCAAAGCGAAACAGAAAATAACAAGTTGTGGTCAAGAAAAAAAAATTTGGCGAGGCCAATTATCAAGTGCTCCGCTTTGAATATTTTATAGAATTTATTTTTGCAACGTCCCAAGGCCAAGATAATACGCGTTTTGGAATGCAACCATACTCAATACGACGCCGATTGAACACTTTATGAGAATTGTGCTTTATGAAATACGATATTATTTTTTGGCCAGAAGAAGTACGAAATTCATTACTAATTGATTTTGCAATGAAATTTAGGAAATGTTTGGGAGCTTTTCTTAAACACAAAATGAAATGAAATGAACTAATTAGAAGTTCTATATTATTATTTAGAAATATTTTTTTAAAAAAGTGAAATGATTTGAGGTGACCTTTTAAATTATTCCTAACTCACTATCATTCTAAACTTTTTTTTTTAATACCTTCTAATTTGAAGGTCAATGATAGAATAATACGTATAAGTAACATTATTATAAAAAAAAATCATCTCAATCCTTCTCACCCTCTTGTACTCTTTTCACTACTCATCACCGTAAAACTAAAAAAAAAAATCTTATAATTATTTTTAAATAATAATTAAATAAAATAATTTTTTAATAAAATTTTTAAATAATGAAACGTTTCATTCCATTCACTCATTTTTATTCCACCCATTTTATTCCATTAATGATCATTATTTTTTGTCCCATCATATACTCTCAAATATAGTCTAAGGGCATGCTTATTTAAGCTTATTTTACGAAAAAATTATTTATTTTTAAAAAATATTTGCTAGTATTAATATATTTGTTTAAATTTTTAAAAATAATCAAAATAACAAATAATTTTTTGATTATTTTAATTAAAAAGTTACTTTGAGTAGCTTCTTAAAATAATCTAAATGAGATAGAATAAATGAGATAGAATGTTTTAGAAAGGCAATATAAGTGAAGATATCATAAAATTATAAAATAATTAAATAATAAATTATTTTTATAAATAAAAAATCAATGAACATATCATAAAATTTTTAATTTTTTATTATTGTAATCAAGTATAAAATAATATCCACTTTTTTATAAAATCTCTGCAAAATAATTTTTTATAAAATATCAAAAATATTTAAAAATTACTGATTTTTTTAGTCTTAAATAAATGGGTCATAAATCATGATAATTTAGAATAACTTATTTACAATTAATTTGCTTCAGTACAACGTGTGTAATAACTTATACTCATTTTGTTTAAAAATGTAAATTATTTTTAACTGAATCTTACTTCTCAATAAAATAGTTTTTTTATTTTTAAATTAATTCTATTTTTTATATTTATTTTATTAAATATTGTATAATAAATATAAAGTTACTATCACTACGAGCACTTTTAAAAAAAGATAATGATTACACATCAAAAGACTAAAATATCTTATATTTTTAAACATCCAACTCTTCAAAAAATATCTTACATTTTAAATAAAATTTATTCAATTTTTATTATAAAATACTTATAACTATTTTATCAAAATTTTTAAAAATAGTTAAGTTATATTTGTTTAAAAATAAAATAATTTTTTAATTTTATTTATATTTAAATAAAATTACAAAAATACAAAATATAATTAATATACCGCACAGTGTGCCTTGCATTAAAGATAAAAAAAAAAAACTTATGAAAAGTGCCCCGTAATTGACGAGAGAATATATAAAAGTACTAGCATATTGTATAATTAACAGAGTGTAAATAAATAAATAAATATATATATATATATATATATGTATGTATGTATGTATGCACGATTTTCATCGAACCATGGATTCTTCCAAAAAAAACAATAATCTGAGACGATGACGCGCATGCTTGGGGGAAGGGCATTAATGCTTGATAAACCTGGTTCCGCCAGTGTCGAACAGCCAAAGATTGCTTTCCAGTTGACAGCTGTAGATGGCGATGGAGATGACGTGTCAAAACCTGGTTGCACTTTTGCCTCGTTTTAAACATTCCTCACTTTCACAACACTACGGCGCTTATGAAATCTTGGTCGTTCCAGGTAAGCATGCGTCATGCTGACAGAATCTTTGCCCCGTCACTCCCCTCCCCGAGCACAGGTGAGAGTAGTTGCACAGTATTAACTCCCTCCTAAATTTAATGAAAAAATTATACTCCTTCATTTAATATTTATTAAATATATTTAACTTTTACTTTTTAAATAAAAATATAAATTATTAAAAATCCTTCATTTAATATTTTTTTTATTAAAAAATATTAGAGAGAGTATATAAGAAAAATAACATTAAAAAATTATTAATACACACTTATTATTATTAAAGTGTCTTATGTTTTGACATGTCGAATCTTTGCTAACAAAAATAGCCTATCTATTGAGATGAGAGTACTCCTTTAATTTTATCTCTGAGTTACTTTTAATATATTTTATCAAAATAAACAAGATCTTGTTTAAAAATTTAATAAATCTTAACATGTTCATGTTAAATGTACATAGTTCTCTGATCCAATTTATATAATAGAGTAAAGAGAGTATTTTTTTATCTTATTTATAAAATATTATAATAATTATTATGCCTCTTCATCATTGTGCCTCTATTAAATACTGCTCTCTAGGAATGTTATTAAATGTAAAATATTTTACTTTAAAAATATGTATCTTTAATAGTGTAAAATTAGAAACGTATTGAATTTTTAGAAAGAGTTAATTAATGCTATTTAAAGTTTTGTTGATTTTAGTAAAATATGTTAAAAGTTAAAAGTTATGTAAATAAAAGTGAAGAGGGTACTTTAATAATATACTCTCTCTATTAAAAAATATAACACATTTTTTAAAAAGTTTGATGTTAACAAATGTAAGACACATTTTTAATCTTTTAAAATATAATTATTACCTTTTTTAAAAGTATCTTTATTAATAATAACTTTATATTTATTGTAGGGTATTTAATAAGGATAAATATAAAAAGATAGGGTTAATTTAAAAGTAGATAACTATTTTATTGAGATAAAATTCAATTAAAAATGCTATACATTTTTCAATAGAGAGAGTACATTATATCACTGGCAT